AAGGCTGAGGAAGAGGGAGGAAAAAAACAGGTGCTCGCAAACCAGTGTCAAAGAGATGACAAGGGAGACTCTAATCACTGGATGCTTGGAAGCTCACACCACACTTGGCTCCTGTTAAGTACAGCCAGCAACGGTGTCGAAGAAGGAAGAGGCAGCCCACGGGGAAACTGAAGAACGTAAGAAAGTGGAGGGGGAAAGAAAGGGAGGAAATGTGTTCCTCCCCTACCTCATTCTATCAGTGATGCTCATCAGCTAAGGAAGGCAAGAGTCATTATTCCATACCTGAGCACTGAAACACTTCCTCATGCCTGGGATGCAAATGAATTCCCTCATATGTCCCTAGAACGACACGAACATAGTTTGTTTCAAAAGGCCTGGAAGACGCATTAGCTTTGGAGTAATTTCATTTTCCTGAGGGAAAAGGCAGAAGCTAAGAGGAGGGTGAAGCTGAAGGAAACCCAACACATCTTACCGTGCATTTCTCCACGTTTCCTAAGGTGTTTGTTGCAGGCTTTTCAAAGAAGGAAATGCTAATCTGAGTGGGACAAGCAAGACTTGCCCACAATACAGACCCGCTGGTGGAATCTGAGAGCTGGGCCGTCTGTGTCATCCTAATGACGGTCCTGAGAGAAAGGCCACCTCAGCTCTTCCCCTCTCTCATTCATCACTGCACACCAAGTGCAGGCTGCAAATAAAATTCTTCACAATTTAGTGAGTGCTTCTATCTAGGAGCACAAGATGTGATGACCTTTAGTGTGAATGCACTTCACATGCAGGCAGCACCCCTTTGGGTAGGCAGCTACCAATTGTTTTTTCTGGCCACTGGAAATTTGCAAGAGGCAACAGAGTGCAACACCATCCCTGCTTGACTGGAAGGGGAACACAAAACATGCCTGTAAGGCCCCCGCAGAGCTGTAGTGTGTATTTCAGACTGAACAGTCAACAAAAAGGAAAGATGGTGGCTGAGGTGAGAAGCTGAGGGACCTCTAAGTATATCTGGGAGTGGGAGCAGGCCAGTTCCACAGAGAGTAGGTCAGGACTGGCAATGCAGTGGTCACAGGTCAGCATTTCCCAAATTACATGGATCCACATCCTGCCCCCAAGTGATGTTATCAGTTGTGTTCTTCCTCCTCCCAACTGCAACTCAGCTGTTCCTGAGCTACTGCCAAAGTAGTGTGCAGATCTCTATTCCTTTCTGCACGGAGCTTTCCCCACTAAGCTTTGTGTGCTTCCCCTACTGGGAACTGCTGCTAAAGGAAATACTTTGGGAATAAAGCAAGATATATCCCCTAGACAGACAGGCAGCTTTCCACAAATGAAACATGAGACAGCAAGGAGCAGATACAGTATGGTGGGGAAAGCATGCAACAGAAAGGGGAGGAGGAGGCACAGAAATAACAGTGTATATGGACAGTGCAGTGTTAATATCCTGAAGTTAAGAATTAAAACAGTTCTACCCTCCTGCAGTAAGCTGTTTAACCCTTTGCAGAATAGGAAGAGGACATCTAGTGGCTGATGAGGACAACAGACTTGACCCACAAAAGAAAGAGAAAATGGCTTGCAAGCTAATCTAAATCAAGGGTAGATTAACTAAGTGGTCTTCAATTGATCACAAAATAATTAAAAACAGAAGTTAGAACAATTCTGAAGACACCATGCAGTCAAGGAGCAAAACAATTAAGAAGCAGTAAGAGGTTGTTTGGAACAGACTGAACAGTGACTGTACAGCTAAATAGGATAATTTCCAAGGACAGCATGATTCAAGACCCTGGCTGTGACATACATGGTTTGGAAACGGAGTTAAAAGGATATGGGAGTGCTGTATTTTTATAACGTAGTAATCCTACATGTTGGCTTTCACAAACTGTGAAAGTGTGTCTGTGGTCAGCAAGGAAGCTCTTTTCTTGCTCCTTTGATGCATCATTTGGCTTCTGGGTTTGTTTTAGTTTCCCTCAGCTTTTTTGCTTGGCTTTGCCATCCTCTCGGGTGCTGACAGTTAACCAGATCCAGCGAGATGATGGGGGGCAAACAGCACTGGCACTCATAATGCTCCATTTAATCAGCAGCCTGGCTGGTATGTCCTGGCCACACACTTAAGGGTTAAATTCAGCATCAGAGGTCAAGGAAATCCCATCTCCAATTACCCTACAGAATATTTTGACAGAAGGCAATAGTTTCAATCACTCTTGCTTGCTTCTAAAGAAATATTACAGTTGCAGTTTTGGTCTTTTAATGAGACTTAATTTTATTACTGCTTGGGAAGATTTTCTTAACAGTGTGTGGCAGTGGGAAGAGTGGGTGTTCTGGGAACCCTGCTGATCTAGACATCCCTTGCAGGCTAAACTGCAAAAATGTGTGTGAGGATGGAACACAACAAAGGGTGAGACATAACAGCACCTTTTAGTCCTAACTTCCCATATGACATAAGAAAATGATCACCCTTAAATGTCTTTAACAGTAGTACTAATCAGCCAATAGTTTTGCAGTAATAGGTGAGGATATAAATGCTACAATCAAATAGCATGAGGAACCCACAGCATTCCCTCTGTCCCCCAAAGCACACTGACACCTATTCCACCATGTCAGCTTAGGCCCCAGACTCAGTTCATTCAGCACTCTGTTCTGCCATTCACAAATACCTTGATCCTTCAAATGAAAGGGGGTTTCTTGGCCACTAATCCATAAGACAAGTGCACTTCCTAGCACTACTTACTTCCCCAAATCAGGAAATTAGCACAGCCATCACCTGAACTCTTTCCAATTCCTTGATTAATATAACAGAATCTCAGTTTTTCTGTGAGACATAATACAAAGAATGCATCTCTTTATCTTTTTACAGAAATTTTACTGCTACATTAGATCTTCCTGAATTAGCCTCACAGCAAGTCTCACAGGCAGGCTGCCACTACTTTTGCCACAACTTCTGATGTCATTCCATGTTTCTTTTGAAGACTAAATTGCTTTTTGAATTATTTTTTTTATATTATCAGTTTTTAAAATAACAATAATTTCACCTTCCAAAAGTATAGCACCAAATTGACACAACTGTCTAACAGCTTGAAAAAATCAAGACCTTATATGAAAAGTTCAACTCACTGAAAAAAAGACCAAACAATACTGAATGATATTCTAAAATGTATTGAATTCAACCATCATAGCTCAGGTACTATGCAATTATGCAGATTACACTTGTGGTTTTTTTCTTGTGATCTGCTGCACACCTACTCCAAAAGAGATTACCTAATAATCAGTGAATACAGACATGTAATAAGCAGAGAGTTGTAACTGAAAAAGGTTACAAAGGTGATACTCAGAGGAGTGTAGACACTCTAAAGCATGATATTGAGCAGCACGTGTCTCTAGATGCACACTCTCCTTGTTTTCTCCCCTAATCCTCTCATTCATCCAGCTATATGCTTAAAAAACCACAAAGACACTGATTTACATAAAATTATCTCACTCCATTTTATTTAAGATTTTCTTCTCCAGTTAGTAAAAGAAAGATGTGTCTCTCTTTATACATATGTACAAGTTCAGTTATAAAAATAGACAGCACATTCAAAGAGAAAAAAAGGCTTGGCATTTGTCTGATTCCCTCTAAATATCATATATACACGTGAATAGGAGGGGTAGGGGGAAGTCTTCATGAGTTAATTAAACATCACCTCCCCCCTCAATTATCCCCTGCAAATCTGTTTAAAAATCAATCTAAGCTCAGTTCTGCTATTTTCAGGTGTGCAAATTAGAGGCAGAGCCAACAGGAAGCACTTGCTCCACACTGTAGGACGCCAGGCAAAGGATTTGGGGTTGGAAAAAAATTATAATAATAATAATAATTAAAAAAAAAAAGTAATCTCCTGCTGTCACAGCCCAGACCTGCAACTCAACTTACTTCTCTCTCAAGGGATAAAAGTGCCCCGGCAGAACAGCCTTTTAATTCAATGTGTCAGACAAGTACTGCCCCACACCTAAATCTCAGTGCAATGCAGACAACGCTTACAGCAAAGCAAGGGGCTACAGGGGGTTGTGCATCGAGAACAGGGAAGGAGCAACCAGAGAATGAGAACACAGATGGGCACTGGCAGTACTGCCTTCCATCAGCCTTAAAGGACACAGCCACTGGTACCCACACACCGCAGTGAACTCAACCAAGCTGGTATGTGTGATCACAAAAACAAAGGGAAAACAACACTGGAAGAACAGTCAATGGATGGTTGGGATATGAGACAATTTTCTTCCCAGGATTTGCTGGAAGGGGGAATGGCACAGTTCCTTCCTGCTCTCTCAGGACTGTTTTTCATTGCTCCCCTGGCAGCACTGCAAGCTGCAAACCACACTCTGCTATGGCACAGTGAGAGGAGCAGCAGCAAACTCACTCTTAGCACTTCTGCTTTTCCTCTTCCTGAGATATGTACAAACAGAGCCTTTGTTTCTAAGCTTTTAAGAGCTCTGCACACCTCACAAGCGAGAGAAATCATTCTAAACACAACTCTGAAATGCAAACCAAATCACCCACTTGTGGTTCCCTCCACTGTGTGATGCAGAGGCAGTGCTGCTGCCCTCACTAGCCCTGCCAGCACACTCCGTGTTCTGCAGCTCTGAACCTTTTTCCTGACAGATGGTGCTGAAGAGAGTCCATTCCCTGGGAACGACCCGAGACACCTTCCTTTGCATTTCAAACCTTTAGAGAACTCAAGAGCCCCACACTGGAAGAATCCAATTTTTTTTTTTGATCACACATCATCTTCAGCTTAGCCCCCAGTTACCTCACATCTACACCGACCAACTGCCAGTGCAGAAATGTCTTGTGACTCTACAGGACACTCCTGGGCTTCAGATACGGATTTTGTAGGATAAAACTAACAGCAACTTCAAGCACACACAGCTGCAGGATATTGCATGGAGTAGCTGGATGCTTTCTTGGGAATCCTTGTCAGATGCATCAATAAAACACAAGCTGACAACCTCCCAGTTACCCCAGACTCCCCTCCTTCCTTCTCGCAGTGTCTGCAAAGATAGTTTTTTGGAATACACATAATCAAAGTGCTCACATAAACCACCCACTCCCATTGTGCTTTGATTTTCTTTTCACACGCGTGCTGGACAGCAACAAGGCATTTGCTCACATGCCTTCAACTGGCAGGGTGGTCTACTCTGAAAGCCAACACAGTTCAAAGCTTTGGGGGTTCAAAACTACTACCGACCACCCGAGGTGTGGGCACCTTTGCTTTGCTTCCGAACTGGAGCTTCTGATATGAGAGTGCTGGTCAGGTTTAAGCTTTTGGGGGTCCCACAAACACTGTTTCCTTTACTCAAAGGGGAGCTCAAGGGAGAAGAGGCGCTTGAAGGTCCAAAATCTGCTAGTCCAGAAGGCCGAATAATTGCTGTTTGCAGAGGGCTACTTGCAGACATCCCTAGCAATGGAAAAAGAGAATCAAATTCCATGTCAGAATGTTACTCCACTTGTGACTCTTCAACAACAAACAATATGCTAACAATCAGTCTTAAGACTACCCTGTATTCAAGATATACATGAGTTTAATGAAGAGGGATGTCCTTAAGATACAAAATGTCTTGCAGTTATACCCTGGGCCACCTTCAGCTGGTGTAGAGCTGAAGCTCCATCAACCAGTTGTGCACATTGTGGAACCTGATGCTGTAACTTCAATGTGACAGCAACGCATGAAAACCACAGCCATACCCCGGGAATAAAACAACAGCATCCTATCTGTCCGGACACCAGAACAAAAAACAAGAGGAAAAATATTTGGGATGAGAGAATTCAAATGGCAGAACAGAACTTCTGCAGGACTAGCTTCTCAAGGCCATCTGTGGTGAAACTGGCTATGCCCTCACACCATTATCATAGCAGACAAGTAATACCCACAATACAACCCTTTTTTCCTATTGTTTTACAGGCTGTAAAAAACAATCACCCAACTCACGTGGTTGGTTCTGCTCAGGGCAGCTTGCTGCCTCCCCCTCCCCACATACCTTTAGAGACATTGTACCCGTAGGCTGCGTAAGCTGCTGCCGAGGCTGCTGCCGCCCCCGCTTTGGCCCCTGCCATGGCAGCCGCGCTTCCCGCTATCGATTTCCGGCTCCGGCCCTTCCCGGTGCCGCCTTTGGATCCGCCGCTCGCACTTTTAGGACGACCCCGGCTTCGACCTGACTGGCCTCTCCCAGAGAAAGGTGCATCTTGCATTGAAACACCTTAACAAAAAGAGTGTTAAAACATTAAGTGCTGTAGTATTTCAGGTGACTCACAAATGGATGCAGCATCATGATTGTCTGCTATTCACATTAAACTGTTCCCATTAACTGATACTTTTAATTTACATGGATACAGACACAATTAGCAGTCATCCTATGAAAAGAAATCATGGGTACTTAAAACTTCACTCTTCATTAACCGCATCTTCTTAACTCCAACTATTTATTACTGTGAATCCAATCCACAAAGAGCTGCAGGATTCTAGGTTCTACTTCAGGATGAAGCTTTTTCTCTACTTGAAAGACAAAGTTTCTTCCATTTGCTATCTCTAAAAGAAACTTGTGAAGAGCTATGGCTCTACTTATTTCAGTGTAGAAAACTGTGGTAGTTAAAAACATCTGCCATTACTTAAAACTACAGCTGCTCCACTCACCCACTGAAAACAGATAACTGATTATCAGCCCAACAGCAAATTCAAGGAAAAGTTTACAGATTATTAGTTTTGTAGCTGTCTGCAATTTGGTAAATATGTGCATAATGGAAGCCAAGCCCTCTATCGCACAGGAACAAAGGACACAACTTTTAAGAGTAATGGACACTGAATGTGAGGTAAATGACAGACTATAAACAGATTTTCTACCAATCAGAAGTAATTTGCCAATGAGAGGGCATTTTTTCCCCAAATACTGCCAACCATATATATTTTTTGCTTAAAATGAATACAATATATTATCTACCCATACAAAGTTAATGTTTAATAAATGTCAGTAGTAAGTCAAGGCAAAAGTACTGACCATTGATAGTATCTGAAACTGAGCCTGTAATGGAAGCAGGAGAGTTTGTTGCCCTTGACTGAGGTGCTGAAGAAGCTGGATCATCCACAATCACAAGCATATCATTGCTGCTCTCATCAGGGGGGATAGAGCCCATATGTAATTCACTGCTAATGGATATCTAAACGTGACAGGGAACAAAGCTGTTAGCTTCTCAGGCTAGGGAAGAGAAGGGTACAAACATAGTAAGATCCTTACAAGACATACAATCACAAGTAATTAATTGGTCCTTGTTCTGCTCTCCCTCAATTTTCTTTATGTGAGACTAGCAGCATGACACATCATCTAATCACACCACACCCCCTTATTTACATGTTAAGTAGCAGTAAAGACCTCCAGGAGCTACTTAGTTTTGATTCATGAAAATAGATGCTAAGGAGAGGGGACTAATGGTCTCAGAAGAGATTTAAAATAACTGCTGCTCAACTGTATCTTCAACTGCATGAGAGAAAACAATAGGATTCTTAACCTGCTACCACTGCTAATAAAAACTTTGTCAATAAGGGATCAATACAACATAGAAAACTTAATCAACAAGGTAGAGAACAAAATATGTGAAAACCAATTTGCAATTCTTTATAAAAAGATAAAGGAAAACAGTATGTCTGCCATTGAGAATGTACAATTTAAATGCCAGAGAGAAAAACACACTAATTCAGAATCAGAAGCAAGGAAGCAAGCAGAGAAGGAGATGTAATGAGACTAGTGAGGAGCACTTACAAAGAAACTGAATGTCAAGGAGCTATGTGAGAGACACTCTTTGCCTCAGGAACAGTAAGAGAGTGTGCTCGCTATGAAAGGTACGAGTACAGAAGAAGGCCCAAGTTTATAAATGTGAGAATTACAAAGGCAGGGAAAAGGGGAGAATCACAGAATCAAAGAATTATTGAGGCTGGAAAAGACCTCTGAGATCACCAAGTCCAGCCTATTACCACCACATTGGCTAGACCATAGCACTACATGCCATGTCTTTCCTTAAAAGCCTGCAGGGATGGTGACTCCATCACTTCCCTGGGCAGTCCATTCCAATGTCTCATACCCTTTCCATGAGGAAGTGCTTCCTAATATCCAACCTAAACCTCCCCTGGTGTAGCTTCAGGCCACACCCTCTCATCCTGTCACTAGTTGGCTGGGAGAAGAGCCCAACCCCCACCTGACTACAACCTCCCTTCAGGTAGTCATAGAGAGTGATAGCGAAGAAAGTAAGTGGGGCTGCAAGCAGGAAAAATTTCAGAGGCTGAAAGGGAGGAGAGTTGGGGCATGAGCTTGCTGTAAGAAAAGGGAGGCATGGAGCAAATGAAGAGGGGAATACAGGAATGTCAAATAACATGAGGAGCTGTAAAGAAGCTTATTAGCAACTGTTATGCTTTCGATAAACTATTTTCATTTCTATGATTCATCTTTTAAGACACTGCACTTTCCCACATTCTTGAAGTTCTACACTAGCTAAGAGAACAGAAAGCAAGAACCCTACAGGAGGTAGCCACAACTTATATAGTGTATAGCTGAAAGCAACAGTGAGTCTTACTTCACTGAAAGGGCTGGGCATGGCAGAGTCTACACTAATGAAGGAGTCATCGCCATCAGCAGACAGATTGGAGTTATCAGCTGAAGGAACAAATGGGATCACAAGGTTCATAGCCTCTTTCTTTCTCTTCCCATCCAATTCATCTTCTTTCTTCTTCTGAAATAAATAAAACAATACCAGGAATAAATAAAAAAAAGATGACCAAAAAGAAGAAAGGCAATAAGCAACCCAAAATCTCAACACCTAATGCAGCATTGTAACTCAAGGAATGCTACATCTGGAATTTCCCATAGTAGGTTTCTGAAGGGGACAGTACCAGATCACTTAAAGGCTCCTTCTTTCGATTTAAGTAGGACTCAGGTTGTTGTTTTTTCTTCCTAACATAGCTGGAATGACAGAGAATTACTCTTACAGAATTACTGTGTTTTCCATGATCTTTTGGAGTGAGCTTAAAATTCTCTATCATTACATAAAGTTCCAATTCTTTAATGCAAAGCCTCCCTGTCTCAAAAATTAAGAATTTTCATTAGCTAATTTTAATAACCTTTTTTAAACCAAATGATCTTCCCTTGTTCCATGGAAGCCACATATGGGGTTTATCTGTGTTCTGTATGCCTAGAATGATCAGTTGATAATTTTTGGGTTTTTTCAAGCACAAGTCCTCTAATGGTTGTCTGTAGGCTACCAGCGATCTACAGTTTGGTTTGGGTACACAGTACTTCCTTATTTTTCAAATTGCTAATGATACTGAAATTCAGGTAACTAGGGATTGTGTATTTAGTACTATCCCTCTTCCGTGCAGGGAAGTGCCACAGGTTGGTGTTCCATGGTGAAGGGAAGAAGGCTTTACTCAGACTGCCTTTGCACAAAATGCTGCCAACACCACATTAACAGTGAGCCTGAAGCTCTTCTGGCTCTGTCGCTGACACAGGCAACCTCTTTGCATCAAAGTACCTTCTCAGCATATTTTTCCCTTTTACGCTTTCGTTCTTTCACACGGTTTGTTTCTTCCTGCTGTCGCTTCTCTTCTTGACGCTGACGCACTGTTGGAAAAGAAATGCAAAGCTGTCACCACTGGAAAAATACTTCACACCCTTTTGTGAAGTTTACAATAAATTCTAGTTCTAACAGAACTGTGAAGAAAAGTCAGCTGTATTAAAACACTGCTATATTAAAATTATTTGTATCCAAGTAACAAAGAGTTTTACAGTGAAATTCTTCTTTCAAGCAACATAAAAGCATAAACCTCTTCTACAGCTTCAAAAGTGTGATAAAAACCAATTTTCATTAATACTTTTCTTGTCATGATCTAAATAATTCATGTCAAAGCTTTGTCATTCAGGAACAATGTAATGATCCTGACTGAGTGCCAGTAAAAACTTTATCACATCATCGTGTCTCTCTTGCACAACTTCAGCTCAGCAGTGATACGAAACCAGCTTGTACTAACATGAGTTGGTAAGACAAAAAGAGCCAGGAAACAGAAGTTGTTATCAGCAATACATATGTTCATTGAGATAAAAACACAGATTTCATAAGCTAATGAAGTGGAAGATGGGAAAAACACTGCAACATGAATTTCACTTACATTTCTTTTCTAGTTCCTCATCATCGAGGAGAAGGCTGACCACTTCCTTTGGCTTCAAGGTGTCAGGTTTGAAATTGCCACCTGAAATCACCATTCGCTGGATCTAGAAGGAAAGGAAGAAAAAAAGAAAAAGAGAGAAAAAGGAAAAATTATTCCAAGCAGCTATCAACTATTTGCATTACCCTTCACTGAACACCAGCAAAAAAAGATGTCAGCTCATCTGTCTAAGTCAGAATTGACTCACTGTCTCTATCACATCAAAGTTAGTAGCAAAATTTCAGGGAAGATTTATTAAGAGTATTTATTACAGTTGCAAAATGCAAAAAGCAACCAAGCTAGAAAGCAGAAAACTACAATCCCTTGTGCGAAGTTTCACTTCTTCTAAAGCACCATCTAATAAACAACAAATCATGATGGTACTAACATACTGCTAGCAAAAAGAAAAAAACACAGTGGTTCTCCTCTCAGGAATAAATTACCAGTCCAATTTTTCAAGTAATCTGCACAGAGGATTATGCAGAACATATTTTGATTATTTAGATGACCAACAAAAAGATGATGTTTTACTTTCGGGGTGAGATCTGGTGACTCCAGTGCAATATCCTAGAGAAAATGGGTAAGTTTCCACACAGGAAACCTGAATGCATTCACAAAATACAGGCTGTGGTGTAACAGTGTAACATGATAGGAATCAGTAGCCCTGACACAGGGAGAAGGACAGAAGTTCTAGCCTTAAAGAAGCCTGAGTAGTCTCATTCCATCAGAAGAAAGTTTTCATGCAGCCACAGTATAAATAATTAACTTCTTCCCAGCTCATATACTGCAGCTGTAAGGCTGCTGTGTTAGGGGTACAGATTTGTTTATTTGAACAAAGACATTCCCTTTTGGCTTCCATCTCCCTGCAGATACTTTTTCTTTACTCATTTTGGTAAGTGTTTTCTGATGCTTTTTCTGTAACTTCTTGTTCCAGACCGTTTCTTCCCTCCTACCTCACTCTTCTCCTTGGCCCTCTGCAAGATGCGCTCCTCAATGGTGCCTTTACAGATCAGCCGATACACTGTGACTTGTTTCGTCTGGCCCAGCCTGTGTGCCCGGTCCATGGCTTGCTGGTCTACTGTTGGGTTCCAGTCACTGTCATAGAAAATTACCTGCAAAAGGACACCAGAACAGAAAGGATTAAATAAAGCCGTACATTTAGAGCACCATAGTGATTAAACAGGGGAAGAAAAATCCAATATACCAATAAAAATTAAAGTTCTGCAACACACCCCACAAAACTACCACCCACTGCAGGCTATATCAAGCTAGCTTTGCCCAGTGCTAGCAAGCCTTTTCCACTGCATGTCAGATGAATGCAAACTGACAGTGTGAATGTTTCAACTTCCACAGAATGCCTTCAGTATCCTCTTCAACAGATCTGCACAAAATTCTTATGTTTGTCATCACATTGAATCACTGTCCTGTAATTAATTGTAACCATCTTAGCAAGCCCTTCTTCCTGCTTCTTCTTCCCTTCTTCCATCCATGGCCAGAATCCAGGGAGGACTCCATCTATCCATCACCACTGATCCTTAGGCTCATGCATTTCTGACCCCTACCCCTCTCCCCTCAGCTCCTGTCTGCTCTGCAGCTCGGGGACACTTTGGAACTGCTCACAGCTCAGGAGATGCTGTGGGAGTTGCTGGGGGTGAGGGGAGGCAATAAGGTTTTGCACATTCCTGAACATACTTGTATATAATTGTGCATTTTTTTTAATAATTAGTATTTAATTAAAGCTGTCTAGTTTAGTTTTCAAACTGGAAAGTCTCTCTCTCTTCAGTCTCTCTCTCCTTCCCTACCTGGGTGGAGTGGGGAGGGGATCGAGAGCATTGTTGTCTAAATGCTGATCCTGAGTCAAAGCCTGACAATCATTAACCCATTCTAGTGTTACTTACCTTAAGAAGCCCATTAAATTAGAATTTCACATGAAAAGTAATACTCCTGTTTTTGTTTTGTTTTGTTTTTTTCTTTCAAACCTGGATAAATCTAGTCTAGTCCAACACTTCTGGTGCTTCTACTACAAAAAACTGAAGCACCACATTACAGTGATATCACCCTATTATTACAACAGTACTTTATGCCCAATAAGCACAAAAAACAAAAACACTGAAAAAAGCTTCAGACAGCAGAATAAAGTATTCAGAAAGTTACAAAAACACAGAACTAAAAATGCTCATGACATGAGCCTGCAGGAGCATCTCTGTTCTTCTTTTTATTTCCTCTGTTGAAGCAACTTAAATCGAGAGAACTTTTCAACTGTGAAAATCCTACAGATACTTGCTTTCTTCCTGTTTAAGTGAGAGCAAAATATCATGGAGTATTTAAAATAATGTATTTGATTTGATTCAGAGATCTTTGGTTTTGTATGGCTAAGGATTACAGTCTATCTTGGGCTCAAATCTGCAAGCACACTAGGTCCTGAGTTAGAAGCACAAGAATAGCTGTTTTTGAAGAGATAAATAGTTAATGTAAGTCAGTGTATTTTCCCTAGTGACAAGCAGTAGCTACTCCAGAATGCAAGACCTAAATCACTCTGCGTTGACACCTCTGCTAAGTAGGTGGCAATCAATTTATCCTTCCTGGCTAGCTGATATTCAGCTGTAAATGACTTTGTACTTCAGAGGCGTCACTTCAACTCTACTGTGAACAGCAAACAGGGTAACTGATACCTGTCCTACTGCTTCCTTTGCAGTTGAACCTTAAGAGCAAAAAGTCATACATGAAACAGCATTCACTGTATGAAAATGTCATTTGCTGAATGTTCTGCATTTTTCAAAGTATCTACTGTATATTTAAGTGCCTAACAAAGATGAAAGCACCAAGACTGGTATTCAAAAAACACCTTATTTACAGTAAAACTTTCAATTTCTACAAAAAAGTCAATTGTGACCAAGGATTTTGCAGCTGAGTTCTTCAAAAGAGGTGAGAAATTCTGCAAGTTACACCCCAATTAAAATCTCCCAGAGCAGCACAAACATCATTTGCACTGGAAGAAGCAAAAAAAAATTCAAAACCCATGATCTCCACCAGAAGTAAGAAATTCCTTCCCTGCTACAATGTCCACACTGATAAAGTTTACTTCAGAACAAAACCTTTCTAAAAGCAGTCAATGGATTAGGGAGTTCCCTAGAATTATTTTTTAAAAGCTTACCAATGAGGACTAAATACATGTTCAAAACCAGAAAGCATACACCTATATTAAGTTGTGGAAGCTCCATCCCTGGAAGTGTTCAAGGCCAGGTTGGATGGGGCTTGGAGCAACTGGTCTAGTGGGAGGTGTCCCTGCTCATGGAGAGGGGTTGGATCTAGATGATCTATAAGGTCCTTTCCAATCCAAATCATACTATGGTTCTATCCGTAGAGCCCTTCAAGGATCCAGCTCCTTTCTAGACTCTGGTACTAAAGTATATGGGGAGAAGGAAGACGCTTCCAACTGCAACCAAAAACTGTGTACTAAGTGCCCAATATTCTACAACTTTTTATCATCAAGATAATACTATATTGTAGATATAAGAAAAGTCAATGAGGTTATGCAATTTCATTACGTGAATGGCAGTACTAAAAAATATTGATCAGCATGGCTAAAAGAGTGACAACTTCCACATAAAAAGACCAATTTTCTACATACATCATGACGCTGGTAGGCAGGAGATAAGCAGCTTGGGAAAAAACAGTGGTTGGAAACAGATGAGGCAGGCAAAACAAATATTTATACTGAAAACTAAACATCAGTAAGCTGATTTTTTTATTCTATGCTACTTTCCCAAACTTCACTTACCGTATCTGCAGCTGTAAGGTTAATGCCCAAGCCTCCAGCTCTCGTGCTTAACAGGAACACAAAAATATCATTCCTATAAAGAGATTAAAAGACCCTCATTTTGTGCACAATGAACAAGAAATAACCACAGGAGTAAATTTTTTGACCCCTATAAAGTAATTTGGGCTATTTCTATTACTTTAACACTTAAGAACATTTTGTGCTGCTCATGGTCAAGAAAAAAACCCATGAATGAGTAAGAGAAGGTAATCTACAAATCAGGACTGTTGGAACATGCAAACATTCAGTTTGCAATAGCAGCTTATTAATCTCTATCAAAATAAACCAGGGCTTGTTTATCCTGCCCACATTGGAAATTAAGATTTCATATGGACAAAGAACAATTTGTTGTTTCACAGAACTCAGAGATGTTAAAAAAATCTTGCCTTAACAATGCTCAATTGATAAAGTAAGAAAAATAAATGTTCAAACTGTGTAGATGCAAGTTTTCTTCTAAATTTGGTGCTTTGAACAGAACAAACAACTTGGAGGGGGGGAGGAAGGAATAATCTTAAGATAAAAGCAAGCTTGCAAATACAGAGGTCCATCCAAAGGTCCACTGGCACAAACGGAAGTCCTTCAGTTGAAGAACTTAATGACTCTAGTCCTAATTGTGTTGCTGATTCAAATTAAAAATTCTAATCTCTTCTGTCCACTTTTTTGTAATCTGTAAAATGGGGATAAATAATTTCATTTCAGTCATATAACAATTCAGTTGTGATCGTCTGTTAAATGTTTCAGGGGTGATTATCTAGACAGTAAAAATGATACTGCACAAAAAGGAAGAGGCATTCATTTCAATCTAACTTCAGTTCTTTGAGACAGTGTCTCTAAGTGAGCTCCATTAATACTGTACACATGTTGTCCTTCCCAGCTTGGAGCATTTTCAGTTTGCACTAACTGTATTACATCCACGTTCCTTGGGACTCCTCAGCCTGCACGGAAGTCAATGACAAACCCATTGCCTTTGGTGAACATAGCCCTCCGGACAGAAGGCCCTAGCAGATGGACTGTCATTTCACAACACACTTCAGGAAACTTTCTCTGAACACCTCCTTGGAAGACCCACAAACCCTAATACAGTCATATTAGTCCTCAGCGTTAGACTTGCTGGCATCAGATTTAGGGATGGTGGCTAAGAGACATGAGGCATCCCAATACCTGACTTGGAATAATCCTCTAAGCCTAATAATCCTTTACATAACTGAGGAGGCTAGGGCACACTAGGCAAGTACCTGTAACAGTGCACTAAGCCCTAGCTACAGTCTGAGAAGTCAGACAAAATGGCCACAGTTGCCAAGAGTCAATGGCAGTTCTACCACTGCACACACAGGAGACAAAGGAGACAGGTTGATACATAGAATGACCAAGTGCTGATGAATACTCAAGTGGTAACAGCAAAAATCAGGATTTCTGCTAAGGTCACTAGTGCCACTGGGGGGTCAGCAGTATTTAAAAGTGTTGAACACCGTATGGATCTGTGAAAAGGTTAATGAAAAAAAGCAGACAGTACCAATAAGGACTCCAAAGAGGCTGACAGCACTACTTCAGCAGCAACAGAGCAAAGTCCTCTGTTTAGCAAAAGACAGTCTGCACTGCCACATTCCTTTGGTACCACACTGTTTGTACACTAGTGCATGCAAAATTAGTAAAGCACCAGAAATTCTTGCTGAATGAACAGCATAGGACATTCCCCTCCTGACTGACTATGGGTAGGCAATCTGTCCTTCAAAGCCCAGTAATCAAAATCTAAAGGGTCCTTCTTGCACTTCTTGGAGGAAGTGTGTGTTGCATGCTATTACACATATTCTAGTACAACAAATGTAAAAAACTAATGGTTTTGGAAGCCATATCCTTGAAGGTCTACTAGAAGTACTTTCTCAGGACTCAAACTTCAAGATATTCGCAAGTACCTGGCAAAGCTGTATTATAAAAACAGACTCTCAAAGAACTCATTCTGGTCCAAGGTGAGATTTCCTCCTGTCCTCTCTAAAGAAATTGCCAGTAGACTACAGAAATAATTATGAAAACTATGAATTAACACACACAAAAAAAGGACTATGAACTTGAAAATTAGAGAGGTTTCTGGCAATCCAAAATCTAGGAGTAAAAAAATCCATCCTGAGCTATGGACAGCTGGGAGGAACTGGATCCGAACTGTCAGTCTCTAGATTGTATCCTACAAGTACAAAGCTAAAGGAGTCACCAAGTGCCTGTTCACTGTGCAGGTATTCCTTGGCCAAGAAATCTTTCCACTCTTTCAACAACAGTGGAACGTGCACACAGACAGTCGCCTGCACATCCAGCTGTGAAATGCTTCTGGAAATGCAGTTTGGGAAGGAAAGAAAGTGGACAGTAACACAGACCACAGGATTAAATTAGCATTCTGTAGTTAGGACATCCTGCAAGATAGTTCAGTTCTCTTTTTTCCTAGAAATATTTCTCATAAGGTAATAATATACAGGAGGAACTCAACTAACATTTTAATAGGAATTATTATTTAGACTGGCTGACCTCTATCTCAAAGGGATTTCCTGCCAAAGTGATTATTTTTCTTCAGTTGTTCTACTAATTAATAAAACCTAATTCTGGTTCATTAATAAAAACAAATTTCCTCACTTTTTTTGGTTAAAGGACCTTATAGGAAGAAAAGTGAGGATTCCAGGGGAACATAATAATCTGAAGGGTCCTCTCACTTCAGGTATTTGGCACAGGTTCTTTTTAAGTTTTATTGCTCTGAGGAGTTCACTAGAACACAGTCCTTCAGGTCTTCAAGCCTCATGAACCAGTGGCCTGAAAAGCTGTATACGGCTTCCCCCACTAATGTCAGACATGATACCCTGGGACTACAGCCTAGAATGCTACTTTCACCCTGCAATAAACAACAACCTATGAACCTAAGTCAGAAGCAAAGTGACCTTCTTACAAGCTCAACATCAACATTCAGACAGGGCAGCCTTATTGTCAACTCCCATACTAAAATGCCATTTTATTAAGCCATATCTCATTATTAAAAGTAAACATAATAATCACAAATTGAACCATTATAAATACTGCACTCTAGTCAAGACAAAGTTCTACTAAAATATATTTATTTATGATAATCACATACTCTTCCTTCCTGATGTGCTTGTAAAAATTGCAAGAACTAATTTTGTTTAATTAAACAAAAAGGGTTAGCATCTCTTACTGTCTAATAAAATCTTCATTTTATCACCTGTATACTATATTAATGTTTCTTAATAAGCTATGCTTATATGGTCTGTTCTGCAGAAAAACAGGTCACTTTCAAAATCTCATCTTCAGTGTCAATTGTCAGAGCACATAATAACGAACAAACATCTGCTGCCTTTCTTTATAAGCAATAGCTTATTTGGAATGACAAGAAGCACAACAGGGGGATACACTAAATTTGGTTCCAATACTGCTTCACATATGACAAATGCCTGAATACAACTGAGTTCAATATCAACACCAGTGACTCCTGGTCAGCAAACCACCTAGAAACTGTTTCAGATAAATTAGGTCCATCTGATATCTGGAAAGGTAATGTAAGTGCAAATTTCATTTATTTCCATTACATTTTATGCTATTTGTCTATGTACACACAATTTTGCATAGAAACACCTTGTAAAATACAGTACCTGTTCTGAAAATCTGCTACCATGTCCCTTCGTTCAGAGATCTTTGAGGAACCATCCAATCTCATGTAGGTATGTTTCCTATAAACCATGTATTCCTGCAAATAACATACACCATAGTTGCTCTTGAAACTGTTCAATCTTGATTATTCAAAAAAACCCATAAACAATAAAAGCAGAACTGCTACTTACAAAAAAAACCAAACCCTAAATGTTGTCAACAAATACGCTACAACCTTATGTAGCCAATGCTTTATAATAACAGAAACTCAGAAATTACTCAGCCATGTCAGTTTTTGCATTTCATACAAGAGAGAAATTATGATGTCTGTTCAGAGTTGAGGATGCATCTGCTGCACCGCAGACAGTGTTACAGTAACATGCTTTTTTCTATAAATAAATAGGCAAATAAAATAACTAAAAGAGGAGGGTTTTTTTCCACAAAAATGTTTCACTGTGTAAGTGAACCTTTCCCAACAAACCAACTGCATCTGCTCCCTGTCAATTTTAAACTATTTGACTAGTGGTTTAAAAAACCTGGTACTGTACACTAGCATCTGTTCATGATTTCTTTCACTAATAAAGGGCCTGTGAATATTACCACATACAGGAACATACAGGAACACTTTGAACATTACATTGGTGTGTCAGCCCACAGCTCATGCCAAGCAGCAGAACTGGAACCATTGCCTGGGACACAAATCAAATGGCATCAACCAGGAATGCTGTAGACACAGGCTTTTTCCAATGAGAGACATTTTTCACACTAAGTCACCCAGCACTCTCTGCTACCTGTGCAACTGTCAATAAAATCTGATTTACACAGAAAGCTCTTCAGGTTATACAGATATCCTAAGAGTTTCTGTGGGAAAATACTCCAATATTTTATCAATGTGATCCTTGGCTGACAAGATGCAACTCCTACTGGTTACATTTACTAGCTTTAACCCTAGCAGTTCATGTGTCTTTTGGAGATGCTGTGACTGCAAATGAAGACAGAAAGGAAACAGATGGCACTTTAGCAGCAAGAACTATTGGAATCATCTTGCTCCAAGCTGTAGTGTTCAGCAGATACAGAACTGATGTGCTGTGAGAAGACATGGCAGTGCCTTTACTCTAATGAACCTTCTGACAGTAACATGCTCAGTTCTCCTTTTTACCTCTCCCTCAGGGCTACTGTTCCTTTTTTGTTTTGCTTCACTACTGCAGAAAAGGTGAAAGAGCTACCATACTATAATGAACCTGGGAAAAAGATTGCTGGAGCAGAAAGAAGCTTCAATGTGTGACAGATGAAAGATAAAAATATGTAAATAAAATTAACAAAGTGAAAATGGCCCAAGTCACACTTGGTCTACCTCTACAAAACAGAGCTCATGGTGGATATGATTTTTGGAGTACAACAACAGAAGTTTTAAACAGAGAACTGCTACTTCACTACACAGGCACTCATGCCCTAATTTACTATTGATTTATTATTCCGTTTCTATGACAGGTTTCTGTCACTAACTAAAACCAGAGAGATACAACCATCAATTAGGCACTATGTGACCTTTCTCCAGATTTGATAAATTATCTTCTGTTATCACAAAGGCATTTTCCTTCCATTTCTTAGTAATTGTCTTTATCTGCCTTTATGGTGATTCAGACTTCCAACATCTTGATTTAGTCTTTCCTCATCTTGCTATTAACTATCTCTTCATCAGTGTTTTCTAAACAAACTTCAGCACAAATAGAAAACAACTACTTTTATTTCAGATTATTCTTATTTCAGACCTTAGACATTTCCACTAAGGCACAAGCTACAAAAGAATAAGCTGTTCTTCCCCTGTAATCCTGGCATTCATGGGAGTCATGGCAAAAAAAGACTATTTAAGTAGTAATATACCTGGCTCCCACTGTAACTGTGGAAGGCACTTGATGACTGCTCATTTTTCTAGTTCCCACAAGGAGTGATGGGGAAGCTTTAATCTCATCAATAATTATACTATACCTACTTGAAAAATCTACTTGCCAATCTCATTCAGTGTATAAGATACCAGAAGTATCAATCTAGGAAAATAATGAAAGTGGCCCTGGCAACAGAGTATTTCTACAGGAAATGAACACCACATAATGACTTGAGTATGGCAAGAATGCAGGGCGGTTGAAGTCTTCTGGGCTTTGATACTATCTCAAAAACTAGAAAACATTTTCCTTTTGTATTATTTCACAGACCAATCAGAGTCCTTTTATCTTTTAACACAACTAATGGACCTTTAGTAGAATATAACTAAGACACTTTACTTCATGTAGAATATAATTAGACCCCTCTTTACATAAATGCAATGTGATTCCCACTAGAATCAGGGGTATTTACTCTTCCATACAGGATAAAGCAATCACATGGAGAAAGAGAGACAAGAAGAATAGTATAAAATACACATTTGCATGAAGTAACACTATGGACATTATACACTATCCCCTTCTGTTGAAAGAAAATAATGTTCCTTTTTGTATTTGTTTCTGGCATTTTGAGATGGCTGAATTAAGCAGCTGCTCTTCAGCTGAAGCTAAATTAAACAAACATGGTTTTATAACTTTGTAAACAATGTGTTTTGTGCTCTCTGCCCTGCACAATTAGGTTAGCATGATACTGCAGCAGTTACACTGACACAGTCAAAATACTGTTAAAAGAAATATGACATCTTAGGTTCTTTCATATTCCAGTGAAATATGGCAGAGGGGATGGATTTTGATATCTCAGGTCAGGAAAAAAAAATCTACTGCTACATAAGTCTTGCAAGGATTTTCTTACAAATTGAGCCCTTACTTGATTTTTATCTTGCTTAACTCCAGCTTCTGGTACAGGTGTGGAGAGAAACAAAACCAGAGGACTTGGTAGGTAGGTTATTTGGGTAATAATAGCCCAGAAGTACAGCTGAGCATTTAGGAGGCAGAACAGCAAAACGGTGTGCTCTCAAGCTGTTAAAATGCAATGCTAACAGAAAAGACAGAAGCACTAAACACTCAGCTTTAAGAGCTTCATGGTGTAATGCAGGGTGTCAACAAACCTGCACCATGTCCGATGTTTGCCAAAAAAAAGGCATGCGAAGCAATGCTGGGCAAAGAGCCAAAATACAGAATTGCAACCATGCAAGTTCTGTTTTTCCTCACAGCAGCAAAAACAAAATTCAGCTTGTACCTTTTTTTTTTGACCTTAAAACGCTCCCCTGCTCGTGATTTAAGCAGCTATTGATTCAGGCTTCTCACTTTTTTCTCTTTGCTTCATTGTGAAGAAGACAGTAGTATCCCATCTCAAACCCTGCTGAGGGAGCCCATGTATACCTAGGACCAATGGCTGAGGAATCACAGGATCTCTACATTTTAGTAGTATTTGAATTACCCTGCCAAATGCAAATATTCTTCCACCTACTAACTATTCACAGTTGGAAAACTTTACCAGGATTGACTTTGAAACTGAAGTAAATTGTCTCCTATTTTCTTGCTCAGAATTGGATAGTCATAAAAGTTACAATCCTTCACTGCTAAGGGACAGAGACACTGTGACACAACAAAATCCTTTTTTCAGATCCAGCAGAAAACTCAAACTTCTTTGTCTTCAACAGAAGCCCAGAGAAACAAAAGTATTTCTTTCTAACTGTTATAAGTATTATCAATAGGAAACCAAATTAATAGTCCTCATACAAATGCCTGTTCAGACTAGCTCTTTGGTGGCATGGTTGCTAATCAAATCTTGATTAGTTTTTTTTCTTCTAAGGCAGACTAACTGTATTTAAATAACTCGTAATTACTCAATTCATAATTTCTTTCCTATTTTATGTGCCAGGGAGACTCTTATTATTCGTATCTACCAAATTTCTGCACAGAAATAAGATGATAGAAGGAAACAGTAGAAGTCTGTGAAACTAAAATAAACATAATGTAAAAATAATCACTATTTCCCCTCTTCTTTCCAATAAAAGGACATATAGGCATGAAAACAAAGTAGAAAGAAGCAATTGAAAACCAGCAAGAGAATAATTAAACCATTCAACCTCTTACCACAGGGCAGTGCAAATGACCAACATTTACAACAACTTAAGATGCAACTGAATCATTTCATGGAAGAAGAATCCATTTAGGATTCTTGGAATATAAAGAAAGCACAACTGGCTCAGAAAGCCCTCAAGCTGCAAACTGCTGAACATTGAGACACTAATTGTGAAATATCACTATTTGTGTACATTTTCCCCATACCATCTGCTGTTGTACACTGGTGAAAGCATAACACTAGGCTGAACCTGGCTGAACCTCAAGTATAACTCTGCATGGCAGCTCTCATATTAATGTATTTATTATGTGTCCTTCAGTACAATAATCTGATGTCAGGTTTGCTGCATCCAAATGATAGTATTTTCTTCAAAACACTGTTACTAAACCTGCATCCTCAGAATTTGTCTTTTGTAGGCTATATCTCTCCTACCTCCAGTAAGTCAATCATCCGTGTCATCTGGGAGTAGATGAGAACTCTGTGTCCTTGAGATTTCAGCCGTGTCAACAGAAGATCAAGAGCATGAAGTTTTCCACTGTCAGTTATCAGACTCTCTTTGTCTAAAAAGAAATGGAAGAAAAGAAGGTAAACAGTAAAACCAAAACAGCTACATCCAACAAGTTAACTTCTAAGGTTTAACAGCACTTCACTGCATTATCATCTGTAAAGTAACAAGCTGTGATGGAGCAAACTGCAACATCCTTTCCGGCTGACACACTCACACTGCTAACAACTTTTGTTTGCCACGACAGGAGCACATGAATATACCCACTGGTAAAATCTCATCACAGATTAATCTCCTCATGATTATGGACTCAGCCCTTTTTGGGACAGCCAGTTCCCCCTTCTAAGGATTCATTCTGACCAGATCAACAACCACAACATGCCTTGACAGTGGAGAAAACTTGCTGTCCCTCAGACATTTGCTGCTACCTGCTGCTGAGCGTGAGCCTTACCCTCCACAAATCTAGTTTCAAGATCAAACCCTTCATCAACATGAAATGGGAAAAGCAGTTCTCCAGGTCACTTAAAAATAACAGCCCCTTCACAGCACTTGCCTTTTCTTTTTTCTTCCCTGCTCTCTGCTTCTGAGGTTGCTTTTGTTGGGGTTTTTTCTGCTGTTGTGGTTTTGGGGGTTTTCTTTATTGCTTTTTTTGTTGTTGTTTAAGAAATGTTTCCAGATTGCAATCTTTTAAGTCACTTCAGATTTTAAACTTCATGTCCTCTCTATTTCAGCCCTGCTCATGAAGTATTTTTCAGGAAGCATATCTTCCTGTTTGTACATTCTGTACATAAACTTCAGTAAACAATACATTACTGTTGAAAGAGGATGAAGAGAAATTTTCTTCCAAAAAAAATTATCTATTGGAAAGGCCACTGATAATTCTTTATTCTTTGGGATATCTGAATTTATGTTTACAGCCAAAACGGAAAGTTAACAACTGCAGATGGTGCAGGCTAGTACAGAACCCAAATATTTTTTACATGTTTAGCAGGTACCATTCTCTAAACTCCAGCGGGTAAGATTTCTGCACACTTCTCATTGCCCAGAATGAATTAACTCCTGGGCTGAAGAAAATCCAGCTTTCTGGAAGGCAGTTTAACTGTCTTGCTTGGTTTTTTAAAAAGGAATATACAAAATTTAATTCATTCATCTATGCACCATGCATTTTCACGTAACTAAAACCAAATTTATACTAGTGGAACAGAGGCTACAGATCAAACAACAGCATTCCTAAAGAGATCTTATGAGCACAGCAGGCAACACAGTCCATGAGTGCCTAAGTGTAGTGATGTGGCACTGAGGGCTAAGTCTGATTCCTGCACATACAATAAGGGGATTGCTGAGAAAAAGTAGGAATGTGGCTGTTCTACACTTCATTCAAAAGCTCATTTTGAAGTAACATGCCTAGGTTTAATACACCTTTTAGAAAGGTTGTAAAAACCAGGAAGTATTCAGGGGAAATTTCCAAGATTTAAGTGTGTTAAAAAGTTTTTCCCGCAGGGAGGGAATTTAGAATCTTGATCCATCTCAATTTTTCAAACAACTGGCACCACCCAAGGCTGTTCTTTTGAACAAAGGTTTTCAACAACAGAAGAAAACTTTACACTAGCAGAGAAAAGGCCCAGTATGCAGTGACTTGTTAAAACTGTAAAAACAAGGCATGCTTCCCTCTTATCCTTCCAACAGTGAGGAAAAAACTACTCAGCAACACTTTTTATCCAGAAACATGGTGGATTCTTAATCACTTTAGTATTTCAATAAAGATTGCTTTCAAAAACATCCTTTAACTTAAATATAAATAATGGACTTGATGCTGGAGTTAGTGGGGTCTCCATTAGGACAACACAAGATGTGGCTAACAGTGCTGCTTTCTGAAATAAAAAAAAAAATCTAAGCTGTCAATAGCACTTGAAATTAATAGCTAATCTATTTGCACTAGAAACCAATACTGTGAACACTGATTAGAGCCATGGTCCTGCAATTCACTAGCTAAGAATCCAAGACAAGAGAGCTCTCTTTCTTTCTTGTCTGCCTATCTGAATAGTCACTGTTTTTCTCCTATTTGCTCTCCCCCAGTTTGCCAGGAGCAAGTGCCACATCGTTGCTTGAATCATTAGCAACTACCTTAAGGAGCTCATCACCTAGAGAATGAAGTCATGGAGATATTGTAAGGAAAACTCAGGAGCACAGCTCAGGCTGACATTTGTTCTTATTGCAACATAATGTACAACGACACACTCTTCTCTAGAACAGAACCTGGTCTCAATTACATACAAATAGTTAATAGTTTCATGCGTTATTCTAAGGAAAATCAAACTTTGAACTTAGGCAATTAAATAAAAATGGTAATTACTTACGGTTATTTGGTTTTAAAATACAACTATGTATGTGAAAAACTTTGCACAGTAGGAATGTTTACTCTTTATACAAAACATTACTAGCTCTTTCAGATCCGTACAGCCATCACATTCTGCTTTTATTCTAATTGGTCAGCTTGCTATTTCAGAATGAATTAAATTGAGTGAAGCACCATGGAAAGTCTAGATAAATGTCAAACTAGTACGATTATTAACTAAAAGCCATCTGACTGGAAGGAAACTGGGAGAACAAACAGGGTCTGTTCAATAGTCAGTCTTGCCTGGCTCAGATTGAAGAAATTTCTAAATGCAAAATGCAACAATTTTTCTCACACAGGCATGAATAGGTAGAATTAAGGTTTGGTAACTGGAAATGATGCATGTCCTTTGCTGCTGGCTCCTTAGGTCTCCATTGTGTAAGTTTCTATTTTTAAATAGCAATAAAATGCAAATTACAAGGATAGTCTTACAGTCTGAAAAGTTAGCAACTTATTAAGAGTTCCTAATTTGTCCAATATCTTAGCATCACAGCAGACTGCACTGACCAAAGTTCTGGTTTTATTTCAGTTAACAAAACAGATTTATCATCTCTGGAAGAGAAAACCATTTGACTTTAACCTGGTATCTTTAAGCTATCTTGATACCATTGTGTTTTCAAAGATCAAATGTTTCTGCATACTTGAAGTGCCACCTAGTGCTTCAAAGAACAAATTCTGGAAAGTAGCAACAGAAAATGTACTTCTTTATCCATGCCATCTTCAGAAAACACAACTGTACAAATGAGGGGGGAGGAAATACTAATAATTTAAAAAAATAATAAAATAATAAATAAATCCCCCCACAACTATCTTCCACCTTTAGTTTCTCTTGCTTCTATTTCTCATTCCCTTCTACCTCAGGGGAAGAAAAAGGTGGTATGTCTCTTTTTAAAATGGGCTTTCCAAAATTTGCAATCCTGCATGTTCAATCTTTAATGAATGACAATATCTTTGGATTTTTTATTTTTTTTTCCATTTTCTTTTTTAATAGCATCAAAGGAACTTTTAACATTTTAAGCTAGTCAGGAGACAGAGGTCCTAGACTGCACATCAAAGAACTCTCCCTAGGATGCATTTCTTGGGTTCTTCAGCACTGTATGAAACAAACTAGAAAAGAGAACCAGACCAAAATAAAAAGTAACTGTAAAATCATATTGTATGGCTTTCAATCTGAAAATAAAAGTCTTTGCCTCCAGCCATGCAGGGATATGGACATAAATTATCTACAAGGGGATACAGCTGGCCTGGGAAGAATAGTTACAAATGATTATGACTCCAAGTAACACCAGTCAGGAGCTCTAGCCGATGACTGTAGCTGAGCTCACCACTCTCTGGAGAATGAGAAAAGTACCCCTGGATATGCAAAAAGCAGAGGAAAGAGAGATAAAGTCTGGGTTCCAGTTGACACCCCTGGTTCCCCTCCCGACAGTCTGCACGGCACAATGGGGTCAGTGAGGAGCTAGCTGGCTCTCACAGTAAACAGCCAGCAAGGCCGGTGCTTTTTATCGATGCTAAAAGGACTCAGACACTTCCTGCCATTTAATCCAGGACCATTTTTCTTTCAAAGAACAGGAAAAGCCTCAAGAGATTCCCACAGTGATCGCAGCTGAGCTTGTTGCCAGCATACTGGAAACACTGAGTCTGGGAGAGGATAGATCAGGGCTAAAGGAGAGAGGTAACTCCTTTTCTATCTGTCACCTATCAACCACAGACCTTCACACCTACCCTTCCATCTGACACTGGGAAGACTTCAGCCTGTGCAGCTCCTCTAGCACATCAGTCACTTTCTGCAATGCACTGTGCCTGCCCCTGCCCGTATAAACACAGCTGTCCTGTTGTGGTATGTGCCCTCTTCCCTTAGAATAAATTTAGGTTTGAATGCTACTTTCCATGTAATTAAAACACAGCTGCACAAAACTACTTTTTTAAAAAACCACTTTTAGCTCCAACATCTCCTAACTTAAGCCAGTGTTACATAACACATCCCAACCACCTTCTCAACCAAATCCTTTGTTGTGCTTTGACAATTTGACTAACCTTGCACCTATTCACTCACTCCTGTAAGCTTCTTGTTTTCCATCTTTATCCCTCTAAATATTTTTGCTGATGATGAAGTCATCAGCTTAAAAGAGAAGTATTTTCAAGAGAATGCAGACCTTTCTCTACTGTACATCTTTTCTTTGTACTTTTCTGTACTTTTTTCTGTACTTTTCTCTGTACTTCCCTCTATGCCTTCTATCTTAATCAATCCCATTACCATTTCCCACCTTTCTACTACAGTGATTCATCTTCTGTTTCCAAGTAATAAATAAACAATTCTGTGATTTCCTAAAGAAACTATAAAATCGTCAACTGTCATTGAACATTAATTCAGTGCAAGCTCATGAAAAATGGTTTCTCCATTACATAGGTGCAAACATGCAAGTGCTTCAAATGACTCCAAGCACTTCTGAGGTACCTTCTTAAACCAGTCTACAGCAAGCAAAAGACCATTTTTCTTTTACTGTACTGACTTCCCCTGCCAAACATCCTTGACCCAAAAGGGTCTGGGAATAACTTAGCATCTGGCAGTGTAAGCTGTTTTTCCTCTTGGCTGTCTCTCAGATCTCTAGTACTTTCTGCAAAATTCTGCTCACTCCATAGGACCATCTTCTAACAGCTAGAGTGTGTTCAGCCCATGAAAATCACTGCAGTATTGCAATCAAGTTCTAGAAAATCTTGGATTACTTTAGTCTAATTCTAGGAAAAAATGAAGCACATTGTGAAGCACATGTACTTCACTAGTACACTGGTATCTTTTTCCCATTTTACCAAGAAATATGAGTATTTTTAATCCAACTGAAACTCAGTAAATCCCTCATGCCTTGTTTTTCAGGCCAATTTCCTCTGAATTTGTTTCCCAAACTCATCCTGTAGTCTGCTACAAGTGATGTTGATCCTTTCACTAGGAAGACCAACAAGAGACTTCTTAGGTCAATATAAAAGTCTTCCAACACACTAGGAGTCAAAATATGACTGTTATTTCTCCTGCAATCTTCCCATCTCCAACTCAAAATAGTATTTGGTTTTGAGAGTTGACTGTGCTTTAGTAAGCAAATCCATCCCTTTACAATCATTTGAAGGGCTGACATGCTAAGAGAGACTTGTATGCATTAGAGAAGTTTGCAGTAGACTTGTTCAGTATCCATCAATAGCTTTACCCCGTCAGAATATATTAAATCAGTGTATTTTAAGATAGCTGGGTTAACTTTCTCTCAGGAGGAAAAACAAACACACAACCACGTCATCCTCTCAAAAAGCCCATAACCAAGCATAATTGCCATCAAAGAGCAGAGGACCTTATTTATTTAATCCCTGCTCCATGATAACCTCCAGACTTACCTGGTATCCTGATAAAAGACCAGCCATTTTGAGGCCTGATCCCTAACAGCCCTCCTGGAGACTCTGGGAAGAACCGGGAGCATTGCTTCAGCCAGTCAGCTGCTAGCTCAGGGGCTCCATTGAGTACACACTGCTTTGCTTCAAGACTTCCTCCTTCCTTCAGTGCCCTGCGCTCATATTCTGCACTTCGGTCATTGCAGTAGAACTCCAGTGGCACAGCTGTTACCTACAAGTACAATATTAATCAACATTCTTGTCCAGATTTCATATTTTAAAATTAAAATCATTATTAACGTGCAAATCTTAGTAATGATCTTACGACTGGCTTAAAATAAGCAAAGATGCAACATCTCTCCACAACACACACAAAAAAGTCCTATGAATGACCAGACACAGACAAGTAGTCTTGCCTTTTGATAAACCATGTCTTGTGCCAGTTGCTGAGAGTAACAGAATACCCTTTCTGCACACTCACTTGGTCTAGATTTATTTATTTAAATTTTTGCCCTTTGCAACAAAGTATTTACCCAGCAGAGATGAAATTTACATACTATCTTTAACAGAAATTCATGTGATCATTTAAAATTAGAAAGATAAATAAACTACAAAGCAAAACAACTAAGAGGAAAACAGCCCTGTTTTGGAACAGCACATTTCTTGGGCTTGACAGCTGACTTCAACAGAAGTCTGCATTAGCCATTAGCTGTACACTAATGGCTGAGAGATCCTCCAGTAGAGAGTCCATTCCAGCAGACACAGCTATCCTTCATGCAACCTATTGCTTTGTCTTCTCTTTTGCTTACCAGGGTAAAGGACAACTTCAAGATACTGAAGAAATAAAAACCAAAAGCAGAACTGAGCCATGGTACATACCAGGACAGCCTACTCTGCCAAGTTCTTTTCCATATCTTTCATTAAGAGTTAAACCATAAGATCCAAAGCAACACACAATTATGACACTTTCATACATATATAAATACACAACATTTCACTACTTAGCACAATAATTTTTCCAATAAAATGCAGATCACCAACTTCTTTTTATCTTTACTGTACCTAAGTCTTTTTTTGGGCCAGCATTGTGGGTGTTTCCAAAAGGTATTTATAACCAAGTTATAGTAGAATTTTTCACATTCTATGTGTTGTAAACTCACATAAACATGAAACTAAACATTTAATATTAGACAATTAACCTTATAGTATGGGCTTAAAACAGATAAAAATTATGAATTTGCAAGGCTTTATAGGTTTTTTCAACAATATAGGAAGGAAATATCACTTTAGAAGTAATTGTTACTTTTGTTTCAGAAGCAAAATTTAAAAAAGATCACCCTTGTCAATTTATGTAAGTTAAAAACATTGCCATGAATCCTAACAGAGCAGAATGACCACATTACTTACAGGCCTATGAAAAACAATCCAACAAATGAAAAGGAATGCAGAGGAAATCAAACTTGTGAAAGTTTTCACATTTTAAAAAGCGAGACAGAGCTGTGCAGAACAAACGGTAAGGGATTCTGAGGTTTGATGGTGAACAGTAAGCATCTGAGTTTCCAGAGAACTGAGAGAGGGCAGGAACTGGTTTGATAATAGGACAATTGAACCATTAAACACAGTGAAAGAACTATCTTTGTATTAAAGGCACAAAGCTTTTATATAGTTGAAGACTAATTTGTTGATCCAGCTTACTCTGGCATGACATAATTAACTGCTACATATTGAGGATAACATATATCACGTTACGTCACGCAAATGAAAATGTTTTAATAGCTTAACTGATAAGCAATAAAATAGTTTAAATATAAACAGTTTTAAATCACGTACTTCAGAACTGTAAGATGAAGGGAACAACCCATACCTCAGGATAGACTGACTTATATCTTAGATGCTGACTGTTCTTCTCTGAACATTTACCAGCTAATTCAAGTAAAAGAATTTGGTATCAAGCAAGATATTCTGTGTGAAGGAAAACTGGCCCACTCCTGTTTTACAGGAGCTCTTCTCATGAGAAGAAATTAATCTCACAGACACTTATTTGTGCAAAGGCAAATGAATTGTTTAAACAGATTCATACGCAAAATTACAGTGCATACCAAAATAAAATTTAAAAAGCATACAAAATCTTAGCAATAAAGGTAAAGCTACTGCTTTTCTAACAGTTTTTTTAAACCAGATTGGTTTGCAGGTCTATGCATGCAGTCACATCAAACACTGCAAATTGAAAGTGGCTGTGTCGAGTAAGACTTTGTAGACACTCCCTCCACTTAATAGGTACTACTAGAGTTGATGCTATCTTGTACTGCCATCTGCAGTCAAAGCATAGGACTGTCTTTTGTGGGAGAGGGCAAAACGTCTCACATTTCAAGTTTTATTGCCTGAACACGGATGTACACCACACTTATGCTACAGACTTAGGTTGTTCCTTTTAAAGGACACTAGTAACCATCACATCTCAGTTCATTTTTCTACACTGGATATGGTGAAACAAGGACTGCTTCAGGCACAGACACCCTGTCATATTTATTTTCAGGACACTCAGGACTGTCAGTCAGTACACACAAAACAGAGCAGACTAATACCTGACATAGAAGCACAGCTTATCTACTGAAATCAAAAGGAAAATTCATACACTAGGAATTTTAAAAGAAAAATAAAGTAAGTAAGTAAAAAAAGTAATCCATTCAAGTTTGTTCCCCCTCTTCATTTCTCCTTTTTGTAATGGCACAGTTTAAGGTGTTTTTTTTCTAGGTATGTTTTTGTGGTTTTGCTGGTAACAAAAGGCAGGGTAGTCCTTAGTACTAAACCCTCCTATGTCAACACATTCTTGTCAGACTGACTGAATTTAACAGTTATCACAGTTCAGAAATACATTTAAAAAATATAGTGATAGGGATATATGAATGCATTGCCACTTTAAATTCAGTAACTTAGTTTAGTTAGGGTAATTGTAAAACACTTCCTGTGTTTACTGCCATGCAAAGTTAACATTTAGGATGTTGTGAGATGCCAAAAATCACTTCTTACCACAATACCTCTGACACACTGGGATCTACTAAACTGCTAAACTAAAACAAACAGCATTACTCTAAAACAAGTAAGTAAGGCTCTTAATGAAAACAAAATACAAGATGCATCCTTCCAGTTACCTTTTGTGACTGAAGCCCAATCTGTACTCAGGAAAACTGCCTGCACAGAAAGAAAACTAAAGACACCCTCACCCCTATCCCCCCCTTCCAGCTGCTACATAAACATACGCTCCTATTTCTATCATTTGCTCCATTAACTTCCCAAAATTCATCATCACAGGTCAAACAACAACAGAAGGCTATAGTTTCTGAGAACATATGTGCCCTTTCTGCTGTATCAGGTCTTCTACACTCTTGCCAAAAGTTTCTAACAAGCATAAAATTAAGTCTTTGTATTCCTGAAAACAAAAAGCCATGCCTCCACTTAATCATTTTAATACACCAGCCAAGCCAAAAGCAGTGACTTTTACTCACTAGAATAAATGTCAGATATGCTCTGTTCTCCTCTTTCC